TAGAGCGGCCCTCTGCCTGGGTCACGTAGAGCGGCCCTCTGCCTGGGTCACGTAGAGCGGCCCTCTGCCTGGGTCACGTAGAGCGGCCCTCTGCCTGGGTCACATAGAGCGGCCCTCTGCCTGGGTCACGTAGAGCGGCCCTCTGCCTGGGTCACATAGAGCAGCCCTCTGCCTGGGTCACATAGAGCGGCCCTCTGCCTGGGTCACGTATAGCGATGTTTAAGACCCCCTTACTTTCAATTAGACATTGCGTGTGTAAGTGTGTGTGTGTGTGTGTGGTTTTTTCTTTCCCGTTGGCACAGGATCGGCTATTAATAGAACTCACCACCACATGCGCGCGCATCACGTCGGTAGTCCATAAAACACTTCGCTAATCTCTAATTTGGCAGGCGCGACTCTTTTCATCCGCCGCCATTGATTTAATTGGCTGAGTGCTGGCTGAAATGTTTTTAAAATATGGTTTAGAAACACACACCCATTTGTTAATTAGACCCCAAAAAAAAGTCTGCAACAAATCCCAAGTCACTTCTATTTATTCACAATCTCACCACACACAAAAAAATGTTAAAAATAATTCTAAACTAAACAATGCAACATCCTGAGTTGATTGATACTTGCAGGTAATGCCTTTTGAATTATAAAAAAGTTGCACACGTTTAGGCAGCGGCGAACCTATGGGGTTGCAAAGGGGGGGGGGTGACTGCTCCGTGTGCCACTTTTGAGGTTTTAATATAACATTACTAGCTGAGGCGCCACCTTCGGGAGTGCTTATCCAAAATGGAAAAACACAATCGTGCATCTCCTTATCCAGGATAATAAATGAAGGACTGCGTTCAAGCTGTGTTAATGATAGAGTTGAACAAGGTATGTGGAAGCTTGAATTAAGAAACAGGACAGTGAGACAAGAACCTTTCGGCTAAAGGCTTTCCTCGGCAGACATGACAGATAAAAATAAGACAAGAAATAGAAACCAGTGAAAAACTTGAGTGATCGCCATTTTTTATTGCCGGAAGTTGGACTTTTTTTTCAAAACCAAGATCACAGGAAGTGAAAGAATTCATGAAATGCTACTGCGGAAAATAACATCTTAAATCTTAACGGACTAAAATATTTTAGAGATAAATGAAATATAACAAAGTATAAAAAATATTTTTTTTTAAATATCTCATTTTCCTGTTTCTAAATTCAAGCTCCCACATACCTTATTCAACTATCGCCCGATCCAAGAATTTCCCATGGCCCGAAATGATTTTCTTCCACCTACTCATTCTCAGAAGCACAACTTTAAAAAAAAAAAAAAGAAAGATATTTCACCAACCCTTCATAATGACCTACACCTCACCACTTAAGACACACGACAAACAATCACTGCCATGAAGATATATAAATTGTGCCTGTGTGTGTTAATTCCCTGGAGGGTGCAGTTACAGAGAAAATAAACGTTTGAAGGTGTGTGTTCCTAGTTGCACGCCCTTTCACACTCACGGCTTTATTTCATTAATTGTTACAGCTCTAACCACTTGCATGTATAAACCATCATATTTGCATGTACGCTGTGCTATAGCAGAACCGTTCTTAGGCAAAGGCAAAGTGGGCGACCGCCTAAGGTACCGCTGTTAAGTGGGTCCCGCTGCCAAGTGGGTCCCGCTGCCAAGTGGGTCCCGCTGCCAAGTGGGTCCCACTGCCAAGTGGGTCCCGCTGCCAAGTGGGTCCCGCTGCGAAGTGGGTCCCGCTGCCAAGGGGGGCCCAACCGGGCGCTTTTTTTTTAAACCTACAATTTGAAAGTTCATATATATCAGAAGTATAAATTCTCGGGCCCCTACCTACGCTCCAAGCCTATAATAGGGTCCCCAAAATCCTAAGAATTGCTCTGGCTCTATAGACCAATCTATGTGTGTATTGGCTTGAGAAAAAACAAACAACTATCCATGACAATCAGATCAAATTACTGAAGGAACAGGGGTGTTCTTGTGATCAGGGGCGTTTTCTGTCTTTCTCCTTAACTGCCACTTTAAATTGTTGATTTCCCTAATGAGCTATCGGCACTCACAAACCTGCATGAATGTGTTTTAGCCATAAACCAACATTTAGCTGTTGTCATTCTCTGCTCGCATTTCTTGACTTATCCTCCACGCATGCGCCTTCGGTGTCTTCTAGGGCATCTTTACAGTAGGCATTGTGTTTGAGGCAACAATAACATCTATCAGATTTGGGTCTCTTCTTTCTCTTAATATGACATTAAGTGTGTGAGTGAGGCAACAATAACATCTATCAGATTTGGGTCTCTTCTTTCTCTTAATGTGACATTAAGTGTGTGAGTGAGGCAACAATAACATCTATCAGATTTGGGTCTCTTCTTTCTCTTAATGTGACATTAAGTGTGTGAGTGAGGCAACAATAACATCTATCAGATTTGGGTCTCTTCTTTCTCTTAATGTGACATTAAGTGTGTGAGTGAGGCAACAATAACATCTATCAGATTTGGGTCTCTTCTTTCTCTTAATGTGACATTAAGTGTGTGAGTGAGGCAACAATAACATCTATCAGATTTGGGTCTCTTCTTTCTCTTAATGTCACATTAAGTGTGTGAGGATGGCTTCTGCATACTTATGATGCTTTATATATATATATTGTAAAACTGTATGATACAAGCGATAAATTTATAATGTAGCCAATAGGCTCTTTTTTTTTTTAAATAATTTTAATAAATTCGTTTCGACAACTAGGTTGGTCATGTTTGGATAGTGGGCCTAAACCGTCATTTGAAAGCAAACCAAACATAATATTGCTCGACTTAACTCAGACAAGTTTGGTTTCAAAAATTTGCTTTCATTCATGATCCGATTTTTTATCACAACCAGTTCAATTCAGGTGGTATAAGAAAGGTGTCGACTTTTAACGCTATGGTTGCATGTACAGCACTGTGCTGTTACACCACCAAACCCACCTTCCGACATCTTATTTAAGCCTGACTTTAAAAAATCGTTTAGTTTTATGGTCATTCTTTTGTAGACAATGATCTCATACGGCATAGGGCATCTTCCTCCTTCATTTTTTTAAGGCTATCTGTAATACACATTTTAAAAAAAAAAATCCGAATAAATGTTTTGCTTTCAAATGACCATGAATTATTCTCTAGTTTAACTTCAAACTGGACATTCATGTTTGATATAACAATTTTTACACTGGACATTTATGTTTGATATAACAATTTTTACACTGGACATTCATGTTTGATATGACAATCTTTACACTGGACATTCCTGTTTGATATAAAAATCTTTACACTGGTCATTCATGTTTGATATGACAATCTTTACACTGGTCATTTATGTTTGATATGACAATCTTTACACTGGTCATTTATGTTTGATATAACAATCTATTTCAGGAGCCACCTGAGTCTGGCCACTGGCCTCACTGACCATAAACTACAGCTGGACACCCTGCCGTTCAAGAAAGAGAACTCAGTGTCGTCCATTGGGAAAGAATCAGAAGGTTTTAGTTTGAACCTTGTGTCTTGTCTTTTAGCAACCTATCGTCTAGTGTAACCTACGGCCCATTACCAAAATATATTCCATTATCAACATCTAGTGTAACCTACGGCCCATTACCAAAATATATTCCATTATCAACATATCATCCATTATCAACCTATCTTCAATTACCAACCTATCTTCCATTATCAAATATATTCCATTAGCAACATATCGTCCACTATCAACATATCGTCCCTTATCAACCTATCGTCCATTATCAGTTTTTCTTCCATTACCAACCATTGTCCATTATCAACCTAGCGTCCATTGCCAACATATCGTCCATTATCAGCCTTTCTTCCATTACCAACCAGTGTCCATTATCAACCTAGCGTCCATTGCCAACATATCGTCGATTATCAACCTATCTTCCATTATCAACATATCTTTCATTATCAACATATCATCCATGATCAACCTATCGTCCATTATCAACCTATTGTCCACTACTAACACATCTTCCATTATCAACCTTTACTCTCCTGTTAAGGATTCGTCTGAAAACATCGTACACAGCATTAAAATTTAAACGAAAGTTTTGTGGGGGGGGGGGGGTGTGTACCTTACATATGTTAACCCCAAGACGCCCACCCATTAAATATGTTGTCTTTTTTTTCAACCCCCACAGAGGAGGCTGACCTTTCACCCCGGCTCACGCAGCTAACCGAACAACACAAGAAAGCCATCAGGGCCATAAGAAAAATTCGCTACTTTGTGGCGAGGCGGAAGTTCCGGGAAGCCCTACGCCCCTATGACGTCAAAGACGTCATAGAGCAGTACTCTGCCGGCCACGTAGACATGTTGGGGAGAATCAAGAATCTGCAGGGCCGGTAACTCCATCTCTCTCTCTCTCTCTCTCTCTCTCTCTCTCTTTGTTTATAGTCACCCCTTCTTCTTTATATCGCTGTGTTTATAATACTTGTTAAAATGCGGCTCCAGAAATAGAGGAGGATGGTTTTCGTTATAAAAGACAGAGGTTGAAAGTCGGAGCTTTTGTTTTCACGAACTCAGGTAAACCATGCGGGCCACCAACCATGAATCTCTTTTCATGATGGTTTGACTTGTCAGTGGTCTGAGACCCGACCCTCTAAACAAACACACAAGTGTTTATCAACAGATCCGCGCGCCCCTATAAAACTCTTGCAGTCTTGCCCTCTGGCCCGCCAGTCTTGCTTTATATCCAACTATATCTCGAGCGGAGAACCCTGTACCGTCTCAAACTCCTTGGCCGTTGTCAATTATATTTTTTTTTAAATGTATTGCTGGTCTGAAACTAAAATCTTGCAACTGTCTAGCCCTAACATTTGGCTATCATCTTTGCCAAACAGGTGAACCTCTCTTTCCCAAACATTGGACCATCTCTTTCCCAAACATTGGACCATCTCTTTCCCAAACATTGGACCGTCTCTTTCCCAAACATTGGACCATCTCTTTCTCAAACATTGGACCATCTCTTTCCCAAACATTGGACCATCATTCCCAAACATTGGACCATCTGAAACCCTAGGGTTTGGCTTTCGGCTATATCTTGAGTTTAGCTAAACCTTGAGTTTGGCTAAGCCTTGAGTTTGGCTACGCCTTGGGTTTGGCTAAGCCTTGAGTTTGTCAAAGCCTTGAGTTGGCTAAGCCTTGAGTTTTGCTAAGCCTTGGGTTTAGCTAAGCCCTAAGTTTTACTAAACATTACGTTTAGCTAAGCCCTAAGTTTGACTAAGCCTTAAGTTTGGCTAAGCCTTGGGTTTGGCTAAGCCTTGGCTTTGGCTAAGCCTTAAGTTTGGCTAAGCCTTAAGTTTGACTAAGCATTGAGTTTGCCCGAGCCTTGAGTTTGCCTAAGCATTGAGTTATACGTTAGGCTAACGATAAAAATAATTGACATTTGTTGAAGCATTTTGTTATAGTCCCATCGCCAATGAGCCACGTCATCTTCGTCTTCCGTTCACCACCTTACAGAATATGTGTAGATGATGCTCTTAAGATTTTTTATGAAGAAAATGTGTTTTTCATGAGGCATCGACTATGTCATGAAGCTATTGACTAGGTCAGAAAACCAATTAATAGGTCATGAGGCCATTGACTAGGCCACTTAGCAATTGACTAGCTCGTGGAATTTAGAGATTTAGAAACCCCATCAGGCCAGCGTTAAAATAACTCAAGTCTGTAGGCGAGACCACCGCCAGCACCACAAGTCTTGTGGCGAGACCACCGCCAGCACCACAAGTCTTTAGGCGAGACCACCGCCAGCACCACAAGTCTTGTGCCAACCTTTCCTCTTCTCTGTGACCAGGTAACTTAAGTATGGCTCTGCTCTGTTTCAGCTTGGATCAAATCCTGGGCAGACAGGGGAGCAAGAGCAAGGACGTCTATGAGTCGAAAGTGTGTTTGGCTTCCAGGATTGTCAAGGTAGAGCGACAGGTAAGAAATCGCCTTAGAGACTGGACCGGGGTGGTAGTCAAAATGAGATTGGGATAGGGCATTGCCCTAGTGAATGAACCAGTTGTCGAAATAAGATGTTTGCAGGACATTGTCAAGTCCTAAAGACTAGCCAGGGTAATCAAAATAAGATTTGGTTAGAGCATTGTCCTATTTAACCAGGGTAGTTGAAATAATATATGGGTAGAACCCTGTCCTGGTGCCAGGGGCTTACCGGGGCTATCAAAATAAGACATGTTTAGGACACTCTCCTAGTGAATAAATCTATGGAGTCAAATAAGACATGGTTAGGACACTGTCCTAGGGACTAAATCTATGGAGTCAAGTAAGACATGGTTAGGACACTGTCATAGTGAATAAATCTAAGGAGTCAAATAAGACATGGTTAGGACACTGTCCTAGGGACTAAATCTATGGAGTCAAGTAAGACATGGTTAGGACACTGTCCTAGTGACTAAATCTATGGAGTCAAGTAAGACATGGTTAGGACACTGTCGTAGTGAATAAATCTAAGGAGTCAAATAAGACATGGTTAGGACACTGTCCTAGGGACTAAATCTATGGAGTCAAGTAAGACATGGTTAGGACACTGTCCTAGGGACTAAATCTATGGAGTCAAGTAAGACATGGTTAGGACACTGTCCTAGGGACTAAATCTATGGAGTCAAGTAAGACATGGTTAGGACACTGTCCTAGGGACTAAATCTATGGAGTCAAGTAAGACATGGTTAGGACACTGTCCTAGGGACTAAATCTATGGAGTCAAGTAAGACATGGTTAGGACACTGTCCTAGTGAATAAATCTATGGAGTCAAGTAAGACATGGTTAGGACACTGTCCTAGTGAATAAATCTAAGGAGTCAAAATGATATGGGTAGGGCATGTCCTACAGGCAGAGTAGCCCAAACAAGATATTGTTAGGACATTGTTAGCCAGAATACTCAAAATAGTCATTGGTAGGACATTGACCTAGGATCTAACCAGGATGATCAAAAAAGGTGTGGGCAGGATATTGTCCTAGTGCCTTAACCAAGGTAATAAATATATGATGCGGGTAGGACATTGGACTACTATACAGATGCTTGTTAATGGGCATCGCGAATTACTACATTCCATTCTATAATGTAACCTGCTTAATTGAGCAGAAACCATGGCAACGTATTCGTGTGTTTTTCAAAATGGAAAGACAAGAAGTGATTACCTTATTTCGTATTAATTTTAATCTCCCCTTTGTTTAAATTAAAATAACATTTTTGTTTCATATGCTTAATTAATTGTTAATATGTAATTTTTTTTTATTTTTTTTTTTTGGCCATGATGCAATTTAATTAAAATTCCCCGAATTGAATTTTAAAACCTGGCAACTTGTTTGAAATATGCCAGCTGAGACAATGATTACGTCACGAGAAGTGAAAGACTGGCTACTCCGCAATGCTACGGCAATAAATGTTACTGACATACGAGAGAGCATTCGTAGTAACGAAATTTTTCGTGGTCACATTTTACGTTTCAATTCTTCTGTAACAATGCAATATTGTATATGCTGCCACCATTAATATGTCAGTCTTACGTCTACAGGTGGATGATATTGAATCCAAGCTCGACCTTCTGGTGGACATGTACAAGGAAGACAGGAAGTTACTCCTTCAGCACATACAGCAGTCTTACGGGGGCACTCCCCCGCCAGGCCCACCCCCGCCACCCGCGTCGCATGCCCCGCCCCCGGCGGGCTCCTCCCAGTTCAAGCCGCGCCCCATCCTAATAGACAAGCACTTCACCAGTGAACCGGCCACGCCCACCGGCCTCGGGTTCGCCGGCTCCACCGGAGGGGGGCGGCTCGGGGAGAAACCCATCATCCAAAGAAACCTGTCGGACCTCAGTCAGAGAATCAAAAAAAGAGTGACGTACCGGGGCCTGTCCTTGCACGACCCGCCTTCGCGCGCGCAGTCCGCCGCCAATTTTTCCTCCAGCCTACCTTTGTATTCCCTGATCACCACGTCGAATCCCTCGGCGTCGACCTATCAGAGCGACAGGACGACCGTGGACATCGACCGCCTGCTGTCCCTCGCCGGTGAGGGCCGGTCCTCCGACTTGCACTCCAGCTCCGACATGTCCCAGACCTCCAACGAAAGGTCTTTCGCCAGCATGTCCTCGAGAGATTTTTCCCAGGGTGGCGGTGACCCGAACGAGCCTCAACAGCAGCAGACGTACCAGCCTCCCCTTCCCTCCCCGTTGCTCCCGGGCACCGCCCTGTCGACCCTCAGCGAACAGCGGAGCGTGGAGTCGGACTCGAGCCTCTCGTGCTTGGATCTGGCGTCGTCGCCCCAGGGACACGCCCACTTTTCGCCCCCTGCGCCGAGCCCTCTGCTGGCCTCACCGGCGCCGAGCCCCGCCCGTTCATCTCAGGCCACGCCTCTTCAGCCCCACCCCTCGCCCCGCCCCGGCGCTTGCGGCAAGACAGCGTCTTTCAGCAGTCTGACCTCATCTCCCCATTCCTCGTTTCCGAACCTGGCGACCGGCCTCGCCTCGACTTTGTCCGGCCACGCCTCGACTTTGTCCGGCCACGCCTCGACCTTGTCCGGCGACCAGCACCTTCCACAACCCCCGACCTCCGCGACACCCCACGCGACTGCCCAAGACCTGGGCGTGGCTCTGCGGGAATGTGTCCACACAGAGTTTCCAGACAATTTGGAAATATTATAAAGAAACCCTCGACACCTTCATGTTATTATTGCTGCAACAATGATCAAACTTTGTATTGTTAAGACGTCCCCAATTTAAAAGAATATCGCTGGTTATTCGGGGGGGGGGGGGGGNGGGGGGGGGGGGCGAGGCAGGGGTTATTTTAAGAAATGATTTCCGCAATGTAGGCTTTATTCATTAATTTTTTTTAATTAATTTTTTTTTGTGGTTTTTGTTTTGTTTTTGTTGTTTGTTTTTGTTTTTTTTTTTTTGTTGGAGATGGGGACATTTAACATACAAACGTTATTATTGTAATCAAGTATATACAAATTAATTTCCACGGCTTGGGGGCACAGGGTGTGAATGTCTCTATCTCCCCCCAACCCCCCCCCACCCCACCAAGGTCAGCACAAGGGCCAATTTTGTCCCAAATTATATTTATTTTTTGCAGTTTTAGAAGGACACACCAGGAGATGAAGTGATCGAATTCACGTGAAATAATTAGATTATAGTTTGTTTTTTGTGGTGGGGGGGGGAGGGGAGAGGGGGGGGCTTTTCTATCACATCGTTTGAAGTTGATTGTAATCACTGGCATGACTCGTGAGAATGTAATCATTCATCATTGTTCATCATCTTGCCTGTACCTGAATAGCGCGGGTCTTTGACTCTGCGATGCGTCCCCCACCTCCTCCTAGTTCAAATCTGCGATACGCCTCAAAGGGTGAGGTGAGTGTGCACAGGGGGAATCTGATAAGCATCGTCATACATCGAGGGGATTTGCCTTTTTTTTCTTCTTTTAAATTTTTTTAAAAATTATTTAGAAGTGGTGGATGGGTTGGGGTTTGGGGTGTGTTGATGGCACCCTTTCGTTGCACATCACTGGATTCTTTGCCACACCCCCCCCCCCCAAAAAAAAAAAAAAAAATTCCCNGTGTATCGTCTCACTCAATGCACAGAGTCCAACACAACTACCGGTCTCTGTACCGTGTATCGTCTCACTCAATGCACAGAGTCCAACACAACTACCGGTCTCTGTACCGTGTATCGTCTCACTCAATGCACAGAGTCCAACACAACTACCGGTCTCTGTACCGTGTATCGTCTCACTCAATGCACAGAGTCCAACACAACTACCGGTCTCTGTACCGTGTATCGTCTCACTCAATGCACAGAGTCCAACACAACTACCGGTCTCTGTACCGTGTATCGTCTCACTCAATGCACAGAGTCCAACACAACTACCGGTCTCTGTACCGTGTATCGTCTCACTCAATGCACAGAGTCCAACACAACTACCGGTCTCTGTACCGTGTATCGTCTCACTCAATGCACAGAGTCCAACACAACTACCGGTCTCTGTACCGTGTATCGTCTCACTCAATGCACAGAGTCCAACACAACTACCGGTCTCTGTACCGTGTATCGTCTCACTCAATGCACAGAGTCCAACACAACTACCGGTCTCTGTACCGTGCATCAGCGTGGAATATTTCCTCGTTGTTGGTAACTAACGACACGAAGTCAACCGAGGAGATTCTCACATAGTGTACGCCACATATGAAAACTTTGTCTTGAGTTACCGGTGTCTAAAAGCCAGCTTCGTTTTGTTTTGTTACTGTTATGTTTTGTTATTTAAATACCTTAAACTGAGTTGTTACGTTTCAGGTTTTTTTTTTTTTGTTTTTTTTTATAATTTGTCACAGGATTGCTCTGGTTTTTTACCTGATTTTTTTTTTTTTTAAATACCAACCTGGCAACCATAATCTGTTCAGTTCAGATGTAGATATTTGCGCACTGCACTGAAAAGGGAAGTGATTAGTGTTAAATTTTGGGGACAATTAGTTAAGTAATTGCCTCCCTTATTTACAACTTACAACTCTTCGACACTTCGAGCCTCCATTCAAATGATCCGTTTTGATAGTGTTGGTTTTAAAACCAATCTTACCCAGAACTAGTCTGACGTCTTTCTCATGATAGAGACGCCAACCTGATGGTTTGTTGGGACCTGATGGTTTGTTGGGACCTGATGGTTTGTTGGGACATGATGGTTTGTTGGGACCTGATGGTTTGTTGGGACCTGATGGTTTGTTGGGACATGATGGTTTGTTGGGACATGATGGTTTGTTGGGACCTGATGGTTTGTTGGGATCTGATGGTTTGTTGGGACCTGATGGTTTGTTGGGACCTGATGGTTTGTTGGGACCTGATGGTTTGTTGGGATCTGATGGTTTGTTGGGACCTGATGGTTTGTTGGGACCTGATGGTTTGTTGGGACATGATGGTTTGTTGGGACCTGATGGTTTGTTGGGATCTGATGGTTTGTTGGGACCTGATGGTTTGTTGGGACCTGATGGTTTGTTGGGACCTGATGGTTTGTTGGGACATGATGGTTTGTTGGGACCTGATGGTTTGTTGGGACCTGATGGTTTGTTGGGACATGATGGTTTGTTGGGACATGATGGTTTGTTGGGACATGATGGTTTGTTGGGACCTGATGGTTTGTTGGGACATGATGGTTTTGTTTATTGTTGAAAAGAAAAAGATGAGTATCGTTCAAGCATTGAAAAGAAATTATTTCAAAGTGTGTACCAACACCGGGTCGGAACTGCAAACTCTTCTCTCAGAGACCAATCAACAGACGCTGTCCTCGAGGTTTATGTGTGTGTGTGTGTGTGAGTGTGTGTGTGTGTGTGAGTGGGGGTCAGCAAAAAATATTTGTATTTTCTATACATATAACATAAAAAATAACTTGTGTAAGACATTTTCTTGTTCTGGTTCTGGTAATGTTTCGTTGCTGCGTCCATGTACAGGCATCTTTGCAACGGTTGGGGATATGATGTTGCTATTCTAACAGCTCCTAGCACATGCCAGGGCAGCCTTGAAACTTTCGACCGATGTCGAGTTCACATTGGCATCGTTCAGGTTGTTCCATGCTATTATTGTGCGTGGGAAGAAAGATCGTTGATACTGCACTGTGTTGCACTGTGGCACTTTGAAGCATTTGCTATTGTTTCTGGTGTAATTGTTTATGGAAATGTCAGTGGTGAAGTCAGTGTTCAGTAAGCGTTTTGCTCTGATCAGTCTACCCGGCTTCTGTGGGGTGAGGTATGTGCCTGCTGGGAGGGCCGGATCAGTCTACCCGGCTTCTGTGGGGTGAGGTATGTGCCTGCTGGGATGGCCGGCACCAGTTTTAAAGTTCGCCAAACGGGTTGGATGGCTAGAGCCCGACTTGGCGCCCACCGGCCGATCTGGGCAATAACGATTTTTCCGACCTTTGAATAATTAAGCTTTAGCTTTATTTGAATTATCATTTTACGACCGTTGTAGGCAGGCGAGTTGCTTGCTGTTGGACGTGATGGGGACGAGTTTGAGCCTGCTGCGAATCCACAAGCTTGGATGTGTGTGTGTTGGTAAAAGAATGCATTGTCAGATAACTAATGTCAAAAGCTGGATGTCCTAGAAAAAACTGAAAAGTATGGAGTGTGGTAGTCTAAAAAGAAAATAAATTCTAAGGAATATGAAAAGGAACAGTTCTGTTATAAGCATACGTTAAAATAAATTAATAGTTAAATGATCACATCTTGAGAATGGTCGAGTGGGGCGGGGGGCGTAGCTCTGCTGTTGTGTCCCCCCTCCCCTTAAGGATGGATTATCTCCACCTACTCATATGACTTACCTCTGGTAATATGTTGTACGCAGAGCACAAACATAATCAAGAAACTGTAGAGCGCATACTGTAGTTTGTATATAATTTCCATGATGTCATTAAGGATATGACACGTAGATTAAATGTCAATTTCTTGAGTGGTTGTGGAATGTCTCCAATGAACAGTCTCGTGAGACCTGGGAATCACGTGATGCGGTCTCACTTGCGGACCCAGCACATTCTTATTTCTTGTTGGAAAAACATTAGATACCTAGACGACTTTGTTTAAAGGAGAATGTTTGTAACCTGAAGGTTAAATACTGTCGTATAAAAAATGGGATATAGACTCTACTTGAAACATTATTGTTATGTAATGAAAAGTCTTATAAATTTCTCTTACAGCTGAATGGAATAATTTTTATTAGGATTTTTGTAATTATTATAATGTATTTATTTTTGTTGTTCATGTTGTGTACTATCACAGAGGGGTTGTTACTGCTGTGTACTATCACACCTGGGTTGTTACTAGTATGAACTATCATAGCTGGGTCGTAACAGTAACGTACTATAAAGGCAT